ATTCTAGTTTCTCGTAATAAACTGCCTGCCATTTAACTTATCTATACGTTTAGCACTAAGTATGTCAAACCACACCCCTACGAGTCAAAGGTGAACTTGATTCTCAAGGTCTATCGATCCCACTTACTATTATTTCTGAACAAAATGACATTCTTTTGTATACACGTACTATCATGCGTTGTAGCAGTCGGTATGAAATTGGATGTAGTAGGCGCGACTACATCGCGAAAGTAGTGCACCTGCAGGTGCAATGCAGTCGCATTCAGACGGTACTTAAGACCCCCATATATACAGGACGATTTATCTTTATGATCCTTCGTTTCAGACTGCCCGAAACGACGAACCTATAGTGTATATTCATGACCGGACCAATGAAGAAAAATTAACTTTTCTGTATTGTTCCTGATCTGGGTGTTTGTAGTGCCGAAGTTGTTTCCGATTTCCACAACACAAGTTCTTTAGTAACTTACTTTGGGATCAGAGCAACGTTATTATTTATTTATTTATTTATTCAATAACAAAAAGTGTAACATAACGGTATTTACTATGACGTTACATCAATTTATAACACAACAACAAAATATAAACAAAATCAACCAGATTTAAAAATAATTTAAATTTTTAAAACAAAACATCGTTACTAATCTAAACTTAAATTATTAATATAACTAAAATCCATCCTGTTTTCTCTCTTCCATTCAGTCATCAGTCTCGCTATCCCAATCACAAACAGATCACACTGCGGTGTTGCTGCGAGTACGGAGTTGAGGAGTACAGTCGCACGGGGAAGGGGCGAGTGGCGGTACTGTTCTATGCGTGAAACGTATGTAATCTTGTCTAATATTTATTTATTTATGTCGTTAACGATTAACTTGAACACCAGGCGAGGAGCGACGGATCGAAACGATTATCGTGACGATCGATCGAAACGAGGGAGCAGGCCATATCCTACTCTCATTCTCCGACCGACAACCGTCCGAAACAAATACTATCAAATAAGTAAACTCGACCAAATTAAAAAAATGCAAATATGAAGCTTCATTCGCATCATGCGTTTTTTAATTTAATTTTTATTTTTAACGCACTCACTCAACGAAGCCTCGCACTAGGGAAAACCCTGGGTCGCGGGTGCCATGGACACATACATAGACAACCACAAATTACACTCAAAACTCACGAGAGAAATAAATATAGGCCATACAAATATTTCTCCTGGCCCGGTAATCGAATCTGGGACCTCTGCGGGCAGTCCGGTATGGTTCGGAGAACGTGAGTAAAGGCCCAGGTCGGGGCCTTTATGATGCAGATAAAATGAATACACCAGAAACAATAAAATGTGAATCCACTTGATAATATCAGCTTGAAATTTATTGTGCTATTTCAGAAACGTCGGTAATTCGGCTACAATAAAACGATGCAATTAAAAACATATATTGGCAATCTAACAAACAAACATTTCTTTTCGATAAACCCTTGTTATAGGAAATACGTACAGCACGACTCACTTTACATACAAGATTGGATTTTAACTCTGACATTTATGATGACTGTTGTACCGTCCAAAATAAAAAACCCAGATCGCTGCTTACTGCACCGTCACCCTCATAAATTTATGACTTTCACAAATACAATTTTAATGGCTTGCGCGTTATTTCTTCCTATTCAATTAGAATTATGATGACATATTATTATGGAACAAAGTTTAGGTAGTATTTCTTTTTCTCAGCAACCTTTTTACGTGAAGGTTAAGCCTAAAGCGGCTTGGAAAAGATTAGAAACAACGTAAACAGAAAAATAGTATATTTGTGTATAGCAGAACAATACAAGAATCAAGGACGTCAACTTATCGATGGAATGATTCGGGAGTCACCACCATCGCAGAATCGACTTGAGCAGATTAGAAAAAAAAGTATAACTAGGGTCGGCGAACTTAAAGCACTAAGTCAAAAAAGTGCATTCAATTTTTAATATATAAATGCATTTTTTTTTGTGTTGTTTATTGTTGAAAGATGTGAATAGAATGATAAATTTTAAAAAGACACCACTAGAATTTAAGTTAATTTATATTAATGATGTTGGTCCGCCGACACTCGATTATGTCCGTGCAGTAAGAACGAAAAACAATTTGCACAGTTGTGCTCGTACCGTCCGCCGACGAGAAACGGACGCTTTTTTCCTAAGTTAGTATATGAATGACCACTTGCACTAAACGTACGTACGTCTTAAACCAATGCTTGCAATGCAAGACACTGTTAATACATTGTGTAAAGAGTGTCTAACCAATTTAAGCATTCGTTTAAAACGTACCTAAGTTTAGTGCAAATGAACATAAGAGCGGTTATACACGGAGACTTTTAGCAGCGATGTAAACGCGATGCTGTCGCTAATCGTCTACATGTACACACGTGCGCGATTTTATTTTGCATCGATAAAAACGCGCGATTGCAGCGCTACACTTGAGATTTATAGGCGTTGTGTTGTATCGGTGCAATCGTGCATTTGTAGCGATGCAGTCGCGCGTTTACATCGCTGCTAAACATCGCCGTGTGCAACCCCTCTTAAGTGTCGGTAAGTTTGGGGAATTGGCTATGGCCGAGATTTATAAATTTATAAACTTTGACTTTGACTAAGCAAAAATGGCGAACCAAACAAGTTTTTCGTATTTACAAAACGAACTTAAACAAAAAGAAATTAAATAAAGTTGCAAGTTTACTTAATGTTTTGCTTAAATTTAAGCAAAGTTCGTGTTGTAAATACAAAAAACTTGCTTAACTCGTCATTTTTGCTTAGTCAAAGGCAAATTTCGTTCTATAAATCTCAACCTATTTCGATCGTTATGTCACGTCGAACAGTGAGAGACACTAATGACACGTTAATATCAAACAAAAGTTGACAAAAATGTAAATCATGGTTGTTAATTTTTAGCCAACTTCAAAAAAGGAGGTTCCCAATTCGACTGTATTTTTTTATGTGTTTATTACGCGATTACTCCGACATTTGTAAACCGATTTCGATTATTCTTTTTTTTGTTGAAAAGGGTAATGGTAAACCTCAGTAGGGTTCTAGGTAGGTAGGGGTATTTGAAGAATATATTCCAACTCCTCTAAGGATGGCAAATTAGGGGAGAAATCCGATTTATTCGCTTTCACCCACTTTCCGCTAACCAAATTTAATAAAACTTTGCAATTAAATATAATACCACAAACTTTTGAACTCGGTTTTTTTTTATAAAATGATGATTTATGCTTGAGATACCTACCACTGGATGGAAATATCACGACGAACTAAAACACAATTCACGGTTTAAATATTTATTGCATAATTATTTTCTATCCCTTCAAAAAGAAAAACAAATAACAATTTTGCCGACAGAACAGTGAAAGCTGTGAATGCAACGCAAAAGAGAACAATGTCGTTTTGCCCCTGAATGAAGGCCACGTGAATTAAAATATACTAGTTTTTGTGCCCACTCGACTTGTGTTCAAATATTATTATTATACTACTTAAATCAACATTCATCAAAAATATTATTTTTTAATTCACCAAAGCCCTTTAAAAATATACAAGAGGATATAATCGCAAACTATAGAATAGCTTATGTAATACTGATACTAAAAAGGCGAAATAATTATGTTTTTTTTTTATTTTATGTGAAAAATATTGTCTTTCGTCGTCAGTCGTATTCCGACGGTTTTTGATATGCCAAACATGAAGTCTCGGAATATTAAGTATTTCGAATTTTCATTTAAAAAGCTGTGTTGTTTTCGTACCCAATAGACAAGACATGACGTTTACAACATTTTTTTATGAGATTATTTAACATCAAAACGCTATTGAAAAAAAAATTCAATTTCAATGCTTTTTCCATTTTTTCAATTGAATTATAACTCCACTTTCACCCCACTTTCAATTTTTAGCTCTTTATTAATATAATGTACTTTTCAAGATATACTCTGCTTTGAAATATACACACTCTTATTACATTTTCTTTTCTCATAAAATCTTTACACGTATGAACACTTATAACAATTTAGAATATACTTTCAATTAATTTCATATTTTACATCTAATGGAGACCACAGAATAACTCAAGATTGCTGATAATGTAATGAAAACCTATGATACATATATGTACTATGAAAATATATTAATTTGAACAATGGAATGTTGAACTAACTGAATAATTGTCAATTCACGTACAAAAGCAGCATTTCATTTACGCATTTTTGAAATCTATATGTGTTGTGCCAAATAATATTATATAAATTTACGAAAAACGTTTTCCCTGAAAACACATTTAAGCTGTATAAACTCACAGTTTCACGGGACTTGACATTTATAAATAAAAAAAATAGTTAGAAGTTAAATTTGAAAATTAATCTGGCATTTAAAAAATCTTGCTGACTGTACAAAACAAAATATGGAATTTTAAACAGAAAATACTTAACTACTATTGAAATATCTTACTGTATTGACTAATTTCCACTGCATTTAAGTATACGGGATAAAAGTAACATTTAAAACATTCAAAAATAGATAAATATGTTACAACAAAACTTGAGATCCACACATATCCATAAAAAATATTGTGAATTTAAATACATTAATGAAAAATAATGACATAAGAGCATAAAGCGGACAAAGTAGAAAATACAACTAAAAATCACGCATTAGTGATCAACAGAGCAAAAAATTCTCTTGCACAAGTAGTTTCGAAATCAAGTGTAATGTGGAAGATATTATGGAAGATCAATAACATAGGTGAAAAATGTTATGATTTTGTGGTACAGACTAATTAGGAGGATACAACTACAACTGGTCTTAAAGAAGTGCATGAAACGTGGACACAGTTTAAATTAAGTACGTATTACATTTTACCAAAATAAGCTCATGGCATAGTAAAGGGAACTGTCATAAAATTGCATAGAAAAATGGGATGTATGTGGGTTTCATCAATGTACAGGACTGAGTGCAAGATGTGAATAAAACTGAAAATTGACCGTGTCTACTTCTTAATTTGTAACCCTAATTTTAAATAAATAAAGGAGCCATGTAGTAACTAAGGTTTATTCATTGGAATCTCGGGAATTTTTTCCTATTTTATCATAGTCCCTTCTCAACAAGTAATTGAAGGCTTTACAAAATTCCACAAGATTCAATTTGGCCTAAACTTAGTCTCCCTGAGCTGAAATGTAGCGGGGTATTAAATTTAATATTACCAAACATTGTTATTCTTATCAGCCTCATTTGGTTCTATTCAAGTATGTATATATTTAACATATTGTAAGTGTTGTTAAAATATTAATCACCAAAAATGCATCAGAAACAAAATTTTAAATCATAAAATGAAGCCTTTGAATGTTTGTTAACTATTAAAATTTATCTATGGTCTACTATCACATTTTGGTTCTGGGAGGGGCTAGAATGCAATAGAAGACGGGGGCATGGAGCATTCACCCACCGTTACTCGGTATGAGGCCAGTTCACTAATACCATGGTAGTGCACAAACGCAGCCACAATCACTAGAACATGGAATATTTGATGAGACTGGAACCAGATGTCACACTTCCCTGGAAACCACCTTTCAGGTACTCTTAGGGCGTAGAACATAGCACCCAAGATGTAGAGTAGGCCCATGAGAACCAACCAACCCAGTGAGGCCTTGCTCACCTGACTGAACCAACCCTCAGTGACTCCATAGTGTATAGCTGGCACTATGCCTGAGAGCCCAAACCCCATAAATACACCTGCTCGAAGAGGGCGTAATCGGGGCTCGGAAAATCTATCCCACAGGGACACTATTATTGACAAAATTCCTAAAACTATCACTACAGAGAGGTAAATAATTTTTGGTCTGTAGTGACAATAGAAACTGTAGTAGAGCCAAGGGACAAATGAGCCCATTATAAGAAGGGCAATCCCACAATAGTCTAGCTTAGAAAACAGCTTTCCTACCATCTCCGAGTGACAGTACAAGGTGTGGTATGCGAATGAGAAGCCAAGGCACACTATAGCGCCCACAAAGAACACTCCAAATATCATTTTCTCTTGCATTTGGATCTCAATGGCAGGGCGTGATAAAAAGTAGATAGCCACACCAATAAAGGCTACACAGCCCAGCAGGTGGGTCCAAATATTGCCAGTTTCTGTATGGATGCGAAAGATGGAGGCGAAACACGCGCTGAATGAGGGTAGGGGCGGCCTATGTCCTTTGTGTAAATAGTCGTTGTCCTGCAGCCAGCGCGGGAGGTGCCTGAAATGGCATACGTTCCACGAGGCTTCCCAAACTTTTCGGACGAATTCTTCGGCCTGTTCGGCGGCGTTGTGGGCAAGAGCACCGAGGTCGATCTCATCCGACAGAACACCAGCTTTTAGCACTTCCGTCATTTCTGCGTCGAGAAGATGTTGATCTTCGGGCGTAGAGGGAAGGGGACAGCCTTCCTCCTCCTCCGCTAGTACCTCGTCCAGTTCGTCCATCTGGGAGGCCAAACTCACGGCATCGGGGTCCCATCCTTGCCGTCGCCGCAGCCCGTCTGACGAAGCACTCTGCGACCCCGACTCCGATTCCGCTTCCCACATCATGTCAAAATTCAGTTCGCAATGTTGCACAAACCATCTACGCTCAATTGTTGCGGTCAACGTACAGTTATTCACGAGAACATTGAAATCCAGTTACGTCACGAACAAACCACAGTGCATATATTTCGTTAATCCAACAAAAATACTTTTTCGCATTTATCTTGAAATGTACACTAGATATTTAAGCACGAGAATTTTGCAAGTGAATTAAGACAAAGGTCGAACATCCGAGCACTGCACAATCAATTGGTGGAACAGCTGCGAAAAACTGTCGACCGTCGACCATTCACCATTTTCCAAATATGTCTATCTCGTTTTTCCTCGTAGCCTTGTCGCTGTCTGGCACCTCAATAGTGAAGTACACGTTGTGAAATACTAGGTTTTGTAAATACTACATACAAGAAGTGAACATTCCATGACGTCAACGAGTCCGTTATATTATAACCGAGTTCGATTCCTTAGTTTTATTTTCCCTATGAGGGTAAAAAATCAAACAAAGAAATCCAAAAATTGAATTAATTAGAATAAAAAAATAAATTACAATTTAAATTTTGAAATAAGAAAAATGGTACATAAATTTACTACGGGTCGTGATAACCTGCTTTAAGTCTTTAGGTTTTCCGCTTCCGAGAATGGTACTCCCCTGTATATTCGCCGGCGCAGAAGAAAGGGCCACAGGACGAGCAGCAATTGGTAGCCGTACAGCGGAAATGCTTCGCCCTAGTCTGACGCTGTCTGTCAGAGACGGCGCCGGTTTCGGTGTTCTACCGCCCTGCCCTCTCTTTGTCTCCGACATCATTCGAAAGTACAACGTAAGCTGCCAATTGCAATAGACTTAACCAACTTTGTCTGTGGCAAATCATGGTTTTGATGTTTAATAATCAATTATTATTTAAAAATAGGATATATTTGTTGAAGATAATATTTGTATTAAAGAAAAACTATTTATTCTAAAATGAATTTAACAACGTTGTAACATTCTGTTACATTATTATATCAACTATTCTTCGTTTCACATTGGAAAAATTTGCGTAAATCAAAAGTCGTAGAACGTAGAAACAAAAGACTCACACGGGACCGATTGAGCTGGCGTGCAAAAGAGGAGGCCTATACCCAGCAATGGGTATTAACGGGATGAGATGATGATTATGTGAGACCATCTTTACATTCGTAAGTTTCACTCACACTACTTACGTAATTAATTTACAATAAATTTACAATTGTAAACACTATTGTAAGTACCTTACAGCTTATGGAAGTTGAAAAATCACAGGCCTAAACTTACACTTTTATTATTTCTTGACTCATCAAAGTGAAGCGATAAGTCGAGAATTTGCAAACAATATACCCGTAGTTACAATTTTTAAAAGTAAGCGCGTTTGCGCACTGTATACGATTCGTGTTCGTTCCCAATCCGAGATTATACAAATCTAGAAAATTCGGACCGACTTCGGATGCCACTTGTGCACTAAGACTGATTCGATTCCGAGAAAATAGACATATCGCTTGTACACCTACCGATAAAATGACACTTCGGACACCTGTGACATTTCGGACCGTCCTTTTTCAGATTTGGAACTGATATGAATCAGACGAAAAGCGCAAACGCCATTAGTCTCTCAGCTGGTAAAATTGCTTTCGAAATATTTTTTTTAAATCATTGGTGTAATTTATTTTATTAAAAAATTCAAAATCCGAGGCATACACTTAATAAAATTTTAAAAAATGACTGATTTTCCGTCCCTAATTCCAAAGAAAGATTTGCAAATGCACCTTTTAACATTATTTTTTTCTATCCAAGGTTTTACCCAGCATTTTCTTTCGAACAGCTTTCGGTTAGTGGAGTATATTAACATGTAAATTATTTTTGACATCCGATCCAATTGTGTCATTTTGACATGTTTTCATTTCGCATAACCAAGTAGTAAACAACTATAGAACAAGAGAATTGTGGTACTTTAGCTTTCTTAGATGTTTTAATTAAAAGAAATCCTAATAACACCTTAGGCCATACGGTACAGACTGTGTGATAGACTGAGTGGTGCAGTCTTTGCGTTGCGTAAACTGAAATTGCTCATTTCTGATTCTGCATTAAGACAGGTCTATTTTGCATATTTCCACTCGCTGATGTCGTACGGTTCACTCATATGGGGTAACTCCACGGATGCCAATAGAGTCATGCTAATGCAAAAACGTGCCGGACGCGTATTGGTTGGGGTAAAACACAGACATTCCTGCAGAAATCTCTTTGTAGCGCAACGCATAATGACGCACTACTCACTCTACTTATACGAAATTATAATGTATGTTAGAAATAATTTGTCTTCATTTGGTACTGTCAATGTTTCTGGCATCCCACTTCGCCGTCCCGGTCATTTGAGAACAGTCCCTCGACGCATGGCATTTGCAGAGAAAAACCCGCGTGTCATCGGACCTACTTACGAGCGTTTACCCGCTACTCTCAGACTTGAACCGTCTGACGAAATATTTGGGCGCCGGCTGAAAGACCTTTTCTTGAAAAATCCTATATACTCCGTAAAAGAATCTATAGACTTAAAATTGTAACGAATTCAGTATTTTCTATTTTTATTCTAATTTTTACCGCATTAACATACTCTTGTACAATTGTTATCAACTTATGACGATCCTTCATGGAGAATGATATTTGATATATAATTTAATAACAACAATATTATATAATGAATTGTTAATTTTCTAATTATTGTGTGCTTTTCTTATAATTTTCCTTTTTGTCTGACGATCTCAATGTAATTTCTTATACTTTGACATGTAGTGCAATTTATACTGTAATGTTATATTCGAGAAATAAATGAATCTGAATCTGAATCTGTATTTCGAAAGAAAACCCATACAGATAGGTATCTCAATGGTAATTCCCATCACCATCCTAGCCAGTTAGCTACCGTGGGCAAATCTTTGTATCAGAGAGCACATGATGTCTGCGACAGTAATCATCTGGCAGGGGAACTTCAACATATAAAGCAAGTCCTACATGCGAATAAGTTGAAGATTCCACGCCAATACCGCGGGCCCCGTGTGAAACCACCAACAGTCGAGCGAAGACCTGCCATCTTACCTTACGTGAGAGGTGTTACAGACAAGATCGGAAGAGTCCTCAGGCGCGCATCTATCAAGACCTATTTCAAGCCCCTGAGGAAGATTTCTCAGTTCCTGAGACCCGTGAAATGTAACATCCCCTTACAGGATGCAGGAGTTTACAAGCTTGACTGTGAGTGCGGTCTCTTTTATATTGGACAAACAAAGCGAAGTATTTGTACCCGCGTCAAAGAACATATAGCTGATGTCAAACACCTTCGCGTAAACAAGTCTGCAGTCTGCGAGTATGTCATGGATAAACCTACACATTCAATGAAGTTTGACAAACCCCAGGTCCTTGCAAAAGAAGTCCGTCATCTACCCAGGATGCTGCGAGAAGCCATTAAAATCAAAAAACATTCTAATTTCAACAGGGAAGATGGTTTCTTCGTACTACCAATTTGGGATCCAGTATTTCCTCTAATGAAAAATCCCAAACAGACATAAGACTGCAGTACTAATCAATATGTTTTAATTTATTCTAATTTCTATTAATAATTAATTGAATTTAATAAAAATGCATTTAATAAAATAATTAGTAAAAGTTAATATAGCCTAAACTGGAATGTTTTCTTTGTAAAATTAAAAATAAGGTATTTAATTAATAACTATTGTAACTATAGTGAAAAATAGGGTGGTTTGCATCAATATTAGACATAACTGGTTGAAGACTGTACCACCTCAGTCAACCGTGACCATGGGACCTGTAAAGGGCCCGAAACGTCGGTTTGTTTGAAAAAAGAAATATACGCGATTTCAATCCGGAAAAATAGTTTTATTTCCTACAAGTAGTAAAATTAAATGTAAAATGTAATATTGAGTTAGTATATTATAATTACTATAAACAATAGAATTATCAAAAAGCTGGAGTAAAAAGTAGCGAGTGCCAAGGTTTTATATGTAACAAACGCTCAAAAAATCACATACATCACAAAATCACGTCATATATTCATGTAATGAAATATTCGTATAACGAACTTATTCCGTTGCTTCGATTACAATTATACTGATAATACTGATCTACCAAGAATGGCAGATCAATATTATCATTATAATTATATAATAATATAATGGCATTTAGCTCGATTAGAAAATCGAGCTAAATTTTACGTAGTAATTTAAAAATGTATTGCGTATGGCATACTGCTACTTATAGTTTGTAACAAGTACAAGTAAACATCACTAGTACCCTTGAGAATTGTAGCCTTGTGATTGGTCCACCAACTATCACGTCAATAATTCAACCAATTGACAAATAGGTTAAAAATATAACCTAAAATACCTAAACTCTTTAAAAATATTGAATGTACGTTTCAAAATTATGATTCTAAGAAACATTTATAATTTACTTACTTTTTGAACATCTTAGGAGTCGCAGAACTCACAAAATTTCAACTGATTTACAAGAAATAAGCACCTCCAACAAAATAGACACTGTGCACAAGAATTGTCAAAGTTTGGAAAAATTCGCCAATGAACAATTGGAGAACACGATTCTGTCACACCATTGGTTCATACGATGTCAAAATACAAGTTCGACAATATACAAAAACAAATTTTAGATCCTGCTGTTTTTTTGGAAAGTTCAAGGGTAAAATTTTTTCTACTATTGGCACAATTTTCTATAAGAGTACACTCTCTCTTAATTGTTTATTCGCGCATAAGCTGATGATAATAAGCACATTAGCCTGTCCGGTTTCTTGCCGCATGGGTTTATTTTTATGTGTAAAATAAACAAAATTGTTGAATTTTAAGTGAAATAACAATGTCTACATTATTTGAAGTACTTGTGACATGTGATTCTAATAATCCAATGTGGACATGTTGTGTTTGGGACCCACACACCGGCACCAGTTTGATGACTTACAAAGGCGGTGGCACTGCAGAATCGAAGACCTTATCATTCATAGGAAAAGATTATATAGCAGCCGTGGAGAGAACAAAACCGGTACTACATATATGGCCGTTGAATTCCCATCAAACAGTGCAAGGGATGCGTTTTATTCTGCCAGGTAAAGCAAGTGCTTTGGCTATCACAAACGATGGATGTTATTGCGTAGCAGGCATTGACGAGAAAATATACTTATGGCAAATAGCTTCTGGTAACTTGTTATCGATAATCAATCGCCAT